TGCATGTCGTTAACTACCATTCCTTTCTCCTCTCATGCTATATTCTATGGAAAACCTTACCTAGCATTTTTGTTAATCCTTAAAGTGTTAAATTTTCTCCAGATTGCAGTATTTAAAAGTTCTATGATAACACATAAAAATGTGAATTTCTGGTTTCTCTCTTAAAATGGGAAATTTTGGCTACGTTGGCCTGGAATACTTGCATGGCAGCAGTCTGTGGAGCTGGATCCTACATGCCTCCGTGAGAGGGAGAATACGTATGTCTGTTTGCCTCAGTCCTTAGTCAGGCTCCTTCATGAATTTAAGGTGCCCGCCTGGTCCCACAGACATTTAGTCTTTCCTCTGTTCCTTTCTTTGCCTTTGGGTAGTGTAGCTTTTAGGCAGAGTGTCCCCCAAGAGGCAAGTCCAGTGACATTTGAGTCCCTTAGATGAGCTAGGTGTGAAGTCTTGGGCTTCTCTCCTTGTGGGTTTGGAGTACGGCCTTGTGGGTGACTTAATGACCAAATTAGGACTTCTTTTTAGCTTGTATGTGTTAGTATCGGAATTCTGTCAGGACAAAGGTATCCTTATTGCCAAAGCAATTTCTTCTAAAATGTAGAAGGTTGACGCTTTTCCCTTTAGACTTGTGGGTGGTGATGGATGAAAACATGAAAATGTTCTATAGCAGACTTGCTTAAGCACCAGAAGTTATAATTAGCTTCTGCAATAGGAGTCTGTAAAACTCTGTGAGAAGGAAAAGGCTTGCTAACTGGAGTCATGCTTCAAACCTTTCTACCATAGCAGTTGCTGAGACCAGGGCAGTATTTAATTTTTGATTTTCAACTGGCAGGTGTTAGGAATGCTTGACATTTGGTCACTTGAACATTAAATTCAGTTGTAGGGGTAACCAGAGGTTGCTATTTGTAGAACTGACAGTTGGTGGAGGAATCCATCGTGTGTTCCTAACCTGCAGTAAATGTGCTTATTAGAGTTGAGCATCTTAATTACTGCTTGGTACTCAGCTCATAGTAGACAATCAGATTTTGTTGAATGAATGACTATATGGAGGAATATATGCTTTAGTTCAAGGGTCTGCAAACTACTGCGCCTGGCCATGGCCTGTTTTGGTATAGCCTGGGAGCTAAGAATGGTTTTTAAATTTTTTAAAGGATAATATTCAAAAATTTTTCAGAGATAACATTCAAAGGATATGTGAGAGACCCGTAAAACCAGACATGGTTATTATCTTACTGTCTTGATAGGAAAGGTTTGCTAATCCCTGCTTTAGGGGATGGAGGTGCTGACTCCACTCCACGCTCCTTTTCATTTATACCATGTTGTATGTACCTGACTAATCAGTGGAGACGGTGCCGTTGTATTGTGTTACCTACTAATCAGGGCAGAGCTAATGCAACACACATGAAGGCCTTTAATAGAAAGCGAAGGAATTACTGATTAAGAATAATAAAATCCAGACTGACTTTAAGTCTTCCAAGAACTGCTTCGAACATGTCATCGAGTCTGTACTATATGAGGTCAACCAAATTTTAGAACTGGAAGAAAACTCTGAAAACTTCTTGTCCAACCCTTCATGAATAAGGTATACAGAGGAAATAAAGGACTTCTCAAAATGAAATCCCTTTTTAGAACAGCCTTTCCCTAGCTGCTTTGTTGGATGATTTAAAAAACAAAACAGAAAACAAAAACCAAACTAGATTTTAAGAGCCTAACCTCTAAAGTAGGAAAGTTTGGTTAGTTCCCTGCAGTTCCCCGCCTCTCGAGGGGACAGTGAAAGCTGACCCGAGGCAGGGTATTCAACCTGTCTGTCCTGGAGTTGTCTCCGTCAGCTGTGGTAATATTCCTACATCCCCAAGTTGTTAAGAGGAATAAATGAGTTCACGTTTGTAAAGCATTTAAAGCAGTGCCTGGCACTAATATAGTAAGAACTATATTGGTGTTTGTTAAATACAGAAGGCAGTGGCTAAAAGAAAATTAATGGTCAGTTTTATTAACGAGTATATGAGATTGAGGCATCCTGATTTCCAGGGTTAACTATTAAAACATATATCACTGTGCAGACAATGCCTCTGATCCTTAATAAAATATTACAGGTGGTATTTTTGGTACCTGAAACCCCTTCTCTCCGATCGTAAATATTCCCTGCCTCGTTGCTTATTCAGCTGAGATTTTAATGTCTGAATTATTCAGCTCATGTCGATCTTGAAATACTTGTTAGTGCTTTAAAATCAGGTTTAATAGCGAATTCGCATACCTTTTCAGGCTTCCCATTTAAAAGCTAAATGCTGTATCAGAGCTGAAACGGTAAGGTCTACCTTTGGCATGTTCTCTGGTCTCAGAGAAAACTTTAGTGAACTACTTGGCCTAGTATAGTCCAGAGAAAATAAATCAAATCTATCTTAATTAGGATTCTGAAATTTCAAATTGAGACTGGTGACTTACAGGTAAAATATCCTATTACTTTACCAAGTCTCCAACGATTATGCCTCTGGTAGGTTGGCATTTAGACGGGATGCTTCTATTTGAAAGCTTCAACTTTGTGTGAATTGTTTTTAATAGGCTAATGTTATTTTCTTACAGTTTGCAGTGTTGATGTGGGTATTTACCTATGTTGGTGCCTTGTTCAATGGTCTGACACTACTGATTTTGGGTAAGTCTACAAAATAATTTGAATGAAAAACTGCACAATAAGAGATTATGTGCAGGAGTTTAGAGACATTTTAGTGGAGAAAATCCTTATATTGTAGGGAAGACGTTTGAGGTTGTGAGCTCTTTAAATAAATTGCTGATACTGATATTGTATATTGAATTGCTACTTTAATTCCTAAAGAATGCTCCAGTTAACAGTGATAAACCAGATGGGGGCTGGCCTCACCTGATGGTACAGTCATAAATCAGACTAACATGGGATACCTGTATTTTATGAGGCCTGTGGGATGTGATTTTAAGCTAGGAATGGTTCCTGTAGGATCCCTTGCTTCATTCATTCATTCCTCTTGAGTGGCTCTCCACCAGCAGGTGCCTCCAGAACCTTGGGTATTTATTCATTCATTAGGAACACTGCCTGACTGACGAGTTTACCAGTTAGATGACTTTTCAGTGTTTGTTCCCTAAATCATACCAGTCTATTTTAGAGGTTGTGTATTTGCTTTTTCAGCTCTGATTTCACTCTTCAGCGTTCCTGTTATTTATGAACGGCATCAGGTAATTTCTTAACTGTAGATTTCAGAATACAAGCCCCACTGTATTACGTAAAAAACAAATCGGTGCTGGTTTCCAAAGCCTTATAAAAATGAAAAATAAGGTTTCTTAAGCCTTTATTAAAGCCTTTAATTTGCTGGCATATAGTAACGGTTTAATAAGATTCTTTAGGAATGTTAATTTTCTAGTAACTCCTTTATATCTCTTTCAGGCGCAGATAGATCATTATCTAGGACTTGCAAATAAGAATGTTAAAGATGCTATGGCTAAGTAAGTATTTAAAATCTGCAACTTTTTTTTTCCCACTAAGGATAAGGTGTGCTGGACTTGGAGAACAAAGTGTAGTATTTTCATCTTATAGGCCTAATCAGTAGCATATCTTAATCATACCTAAAAAGTACGACTGAATTGCCAAAAGATTTTTCTCTCCATTTGGATCATTGATTCCTGTGTTTGCTCTGTGTTGTATTTAAGGCTTTAAGTCTAATTCAGGAGGTAAGGTGGCAAAATTACAGCTTACAGTTTGACAGCCTTAGGATTTCATGTCCTGTAGAAGCTGAGCACTTACACAAGTAGTTCTTGAAGGATAGCATTTTTAAATACTTAAAATTGAAATATCTTTCCATTGACCTTTTTTCCCCAACCTTTTCATTTGTAGAATCCAAGCGAAAATCCCTGGATTGAAGCGCAAAGCTGAATGAAAAAGCCAGAAATCAACAAATAAAGGGGATATTCATTTGATTACATGGGGGAGGGTCAGGGAAGGAGGAAACCTTGACATTGCAGCTTCACAGACCTTTATTTTTAGCATTGCGGTGTCTGAGGAAAAATTACCTGTCTTGACTGCCATGTGTTCATCATCTTAAGTATTGTAAGCTGCTATGTATGGATTTAAACCGTAATCATATTTGTTTTTCCTATACGAGGCACTGGTGAATAAAAAAAAGATCTGAGAAAGCTGTATATTACACTTGTGGCAGGTAGTCTTGCTGTTTTTTTGGGGGGGGGGGATCGCAGAGAAAGTGGAGCTGAAAAAAAAATCCTTTCCACAGTTTGTGCACTGTGTATGGTCTGTGTGGATTGATGCAGATTTTCTGAAATGAAATGTTTAGACGAGATCATACCACTAAAGCAAGAGTGAAAAAGCTTGCCGTTCTGGTATGTTCTAGGTGTATTGTGAATTTTACTGTTATATTAATTGCCAATATAAGTAAATATAGATGATATATCTATATATAGTGTTTCACAAAGCTTAGACCTTTACCTTCCGGCTATCCCACAGTGCTTGATATTTCAGAGTCATTTGTTATACGTGTATAGTTCCAAAGCACATAAGCTTAGAAAAAGAAAATCCATTTCCAGGAGCACTACCATCTGTTTTCAATGTGAAGCGATGCCATGCACATAGTAAACTTCACTGCACAGACTTCCTGTAGTTCATTTTGTTATAAACTCGGAACCTCTGGACTGAATCTAATGCTTCCAAAAATGTTGTTTGCAAATATCAAACCTTGTGATGCAAAAAAATTATAAAATGAAGATTTATACATTTGTGGTTTAAGCTGTCCTGAATCTGTGGAATGCATTGTGAACTGTAAAAGCAAAGTATCAATAAAGCTTCTAGACTTAAAGGATGCTTGGTATTTTGGTTCCCTGAAAGGGCAGCCACCGTTCAGAGTACATACACACAATAACCTTTGCTTCTGGGGCGTGGGGGCAGGTCCACTCGGAAAGCATTGCCAGCGCGTGGGGCAGCTGTGTTTACATGATCCAGTTTATTTGACACGTACATACCAAAATGTTTTCAAATGATGTATTTCTTATACTTTGCTAATTGAAAATAAATTCATGCACCAATATTTTAACAGAACACAGTACAGGATTTATGAACATACATAAACTCATACCATATAAATGTTTACAAATAAGATTTAAGAAGTTTCTTGACACAGACACTATTGCTCTGTAAATATAGTTTGTATATACCCTCATTGATCAATTTCTTCTTCCACATGGTTATTTCAATGCAAGGTCTGATTATTATGAAAGGTCAGGTGTACAGTAGAGGCAGACATGGTTAACACTCAGCGTCACAGGGTTACAGAAAACAGAGTTAGGACTGCACAGGGGCTCAAACGGGGGACCCAACAGCCTATCAGGGGATTAACGTAAGGCATTCATAACTGGGCATATAAAAATAGCTTCATGAGTGATCTAATCCACTTAGAATGCAGAAGCACTTCTGGGGTAAATATTAGTCTGTTTAACTGAAAATGCTTCATTTCACCTTTCTCTAAACTGACAACTGCCAATAGCCAGGAACTCAAGCCCCAGAATTTTGCTTCACTGACGGGAAGGGCTAATTGGTGTCTGTGTGCTCAGAGTCCCCGGTCCCTCACTGGCCTTCCTCGAGGCGTGTGTGGGCCGCCCCTCCTGGGGTCAGCGGTGAGCCACATGTGAAGTATGACTGAGACGGGGTAGGGCTATCTTCTGATTAATATTGTCCAGGTCACATTTTCTGTCATCCAGCCAGCTCTGAGGAACTCTCTAAGCTAGCTTATTTTGTTCTATAATCTTATCAAATATTGCTTGGGCTTAGGAATTTGTTCAGCAGGGGTTTTTTTTTGTTTTTTTCTTTTTATCTGGACTTGACCTATATAGCTCACCTGAACAAATCCATGGGGTCAAGTCAGCCCCACTCGGGGGGGGCGGGGGGGAAGACCCAATGCAGCCTTGGGTCACCTCATTTATTACCATTTTAGGATTAAGGGTTCATCCTCCTAGACCCACTTGAGCTCCCCCCCCCCTTCTATTTTGTAGTAGCGGTTTATTTTACTTCTATTTGGATTTTGTAGGTTTGGCACTGAACTGTGAAAACCCATTTCTACCCCCTCCCTCCTGAATTTCAGTTTCTTTGCTGCTCACCTGCCACTATTTCCCAAGCAGGTAACCGGTGTCTTGCATTTAGGAAGCCGGGACATAAACACATGACATGGGTGACAGACCAGGAATCTGTTAAGGGTCCTGTAGCCCTCCTCAGTTTTGAAGTTTTAGCACCATATGTAGAAAGGAGAATATCTGTGGGAGGTGAGACAGCCCACACAACTGGAAACTTTCAAAGGCACTTAATGGATATAAAACTCTGCAAATGAAACATTAAAAAATTAAGTTTCTCAACTTGTTTATACATGGCTCATTTGGTTTTGAAAGCTAAATGTGGAGAACTGAGGCTATCGGTAGTTCTAATGCTTAGGTGCATCTAACTGAAGCGGTCTTGTTCAACTCATTGGTAAAAATGAACATTTTTAAAGTATATAGAAACAGAATAGCAAAACATCCTTTGTAAAAGTTCTGATGCAAATTAAAAGCTACATATTGGTTAGGGTAACTGAGGCTTTAAATTCTGTCGGTGGGCTACATGGTCAGAGAGGACTTTTTGTGTCGTGTCACGAACAGAGGCAAGCACTCCTCCCATGTGAGAACTGACCTTCCGGGCAGCACAGTTCCGCAGAGGATGGGGCGGTCACCCCGCTTCGCTGGCACGTGGCGCTCGTGTGGCCTGCAGCGCTGTGGGCACGGAGGGGCCCCTGCGTGCCTCCGCGGTGGCTGGCGGGCGGGCAGCAGCAGCGAGAAAGAGGTTTCTGGCATTTACAGACATCGCCACACAAACACACTGAAAAAGCAGACCAGATACTGATCTTGCGTGGCTGGACATCATCATTTTGTCAAGTGACCAAAAGCAATCTTACCAAGTGCTCCAGAGTCAAGCTTGGGATGTACCGGATGTTGTGATTTCCATCTCTAAAGACGAACCAGGGATCTTGCCACCAATTAAAGAGCTGCTTTTTTAAAATGGCCTATTGGTTTTTGTTTCGTCTGGCTCTTTCACCAGCCTGAGTGTGCCGAATGGAAGGACTTTGGCACCTTGACTTCACACTCTCTCCCGTTACTGCTGAAGAGGTTTTATCAGCCCCACTTGGGTAGGAGAGCCTTTGCTACTGTTGGACATAGAGCCAAGGGTCCGAGTACACTCCCATGGCCACAAAGGCCCAGGGGCCCTGCAGTTTAAAGGTTACTTCTAAGCCTCATAGAGTCATCAAAAGTCACCTCCGATCCCCTGCACCGGGGTGACCAGTTCACTTAGTCTCTCGTCGCTAGCTTGTTGGCAGCCTGGCGGGCGCGGCCCTGGATGGGGGCATTCAGGGGGGCCCCGAAGTGGGGACAGGCTGGCGGTAGGACCTCAAGGGCGCTCAGTGCCGGCCGCTGTTGGCACGGCAGACCTGAGACCGTGCCCCCCACCGCAGGCTATCAGAAAGCACCTTTGGGGGCCATTTTCTGCACCATCCTTCTGGCATTCTCTACAGGTGCCTTTTCCACAACCTCTCAGACCAGTGGATTGCTGGTCTGGATTGCTCTATTTCTTCTTCATCCCACCCCCAAGCATTTTGCTTGGGCTGAAACGAAACCAATATTCATGTTGCAATAAAGCCCTTCAACTACGTTAGAGGTAGAGAATGAGAGTTGAGGAATGACCTCGTCCTGTTCGTCCACAATCCAAAGAAGGAATGCCCTTGGAGGGACAAGAGGAAGGGGCCTTGGAAATGCTGCAGAGGCTGAGGTCATCTCTGGAGTAGGCTGGCAGGGGTCCTTCCAAATCACTGGAAGGCCAGTCATGCCTCACACTGAACCCTGGGCCTTACACTGAGCAGCAGTTAAGGTCAAGAGCAGCCCCGTCCAAATAGCTGGTTAAGGTTCTCCTGCTACTAACTAGCACTGGGCCTAATGGCTTCACTTCTCATCTGACCTCATGCAAAACTGGGGAACACCCTTGTTTCTCAGGGTGACTGAGGCTTACTACTATTTTTAAACCTCTCTTGGTTGTGGATTAGTCATCCATCTTAAGAACTCTGGTGATCAGCTGGAAGTTAGGAGTTAAAAGACCTACGGATCGAGGTCATTTTAACCTGATTGTAGGCAAGGATGCCACGGGCTGCCTGGAATCAGCCATCTTGGGTCCCCCCCGCCCCCCCACCCCCCGGCAGTGCTCAGAGTAGCAATCATGCCCTCCCCTTCTCACCAGTCCCAGGACAGCTCCAGTGGGGACATGGGCCCATCAAGTTTGGGGTTGGGAGTCATCAGAGACTAAAGACCATTGGGACGTCAGCCCCTCCCTGTGTCCCTGGGACACCTGATGTGGGGGCGGGGGGAGGGAGTACCATCCAGACCCAGGGAATCCGAGCCAGGTCGGTCAGGGTCCTACCTGCAGTCATCTCCTCCAGTGCTGACCACATACTTGTCGTCATGAGAGAAACGGATGTTCGTCACGTGAGCTGAGTGGCCGAAGTAACGCTTATGTTTGGCCTGTGAGCAAAAGTGAAGAGAGAGAGCTGAGAGACCCTGCCCCTCCCAGCAACCACAGACCACTTCCGGGATTCCAGTCTCCCCCTGCCGGAATCATCTTCACTCTGGCCATTCCCATTGGGTCTGGACAATTCTCTCAGCCAGCCTTTTGCTGACTGGCTTTCCCGTCCATTCTTGCCCAAGGTGGACGATTTGTACACCTTCCATCTTCCCTTCCCCTGGTTTCCAGGCCCTCCCCTCCAGAGGGAGATGAAACGGTTAGGGGTCACCAAATCTCCACAGGGCCAGAACAAGGTTGCTCTTGTTCTAGAGTCTAGATGGCCGTCTCAGTGTGGCCCCACCTCCTGCGGTCTGCAGAAGGAAAGAGCCCGGAGGCAGTGCACGGAGGTTACTCCGAGGAAGACTCACAAATTTTTCTGTGCATGGAAAATCAAAGAGCTTCACTAGCCCAAAGTCATCTCCGGTGACAATGTTGAGGCCAGCATGGGTCACACACGCGCAGTTGACATCAGCCTTGTCTGCATTTCGTGGCCAGATGCCAATGACTTCGTCCCCCAGAACGCTGTTTGAACAAGAAGAGGTGTCAGCAGCAGATGTAGGAGAAGGCTGCCGGCAGTCAGGCACCCTCTCCCGGGGATAAGAGCGAGAGAGGGCTTTTTGCATCCTTCACTATGATCATGTGGCTCTTCTGTCCCTTCCCCCTCTGGGCACTTACCCTTGTTCTTACTGTTCTGCTGTGCCCCAGTCCCTCGCACCCCAGAAGAAAAGTTACCCCCATCTTTGAGTCTCTCTCTCGTCCCTCCGGTCCTTCCTTCGGACTGTCCGCCTGCTCACAGCCCGGTGGTGACCCTTCCCTCGAACTGGCAAGGCCCTCTTCCTCATCCTAAGCGGCCCTGCCTCCCCGCGCTGCACCGGGGCTGAGTCAGGAGCCCGGGGACCATTTCCCTTTGCACTTGCTGGGTGAGGTTGGGCCCTGGGACGATTACACAAAAGGAGGGATTTTGCATTTCAAAAGCCCAGGTTGGATCAAAGCCAGTGGCCCAAACTGGTACCAAGAAGCCTTCCAAGCCCTCCCTCCCCGCCAAGAAGACAAGATAGCTCCATCTCTGAGCTTCTTCACATCCTGGCCACATGCAAACTTGGAGACCGGGCCTGGCACAAGAGGCTCTCTCGTGACCTTCTCCTTGAGAAGTTGTTTTCCTCCAGTCACCTTGTCCAGGAGGCCCAGGTGATCTTCTCGATGACCATGGCTTCGGTGACCTGCTTCCCCAGGGGGACCTCATGCACCTGGCGCTTGTAGGCTCCTGTTGACACCTGCAAGCAGAAGGCAACCAAGGCCCTCAACCTTCTCTCCAGGTCAAAGGGCTCCCCTTTCGGTGGGCTGTTTCCCAGAACACCGGCCGAGCCTCTGGCTCCCCAGGACTTTTCAACAAATCCAAGTTCAGCTTGAGGCTGCGAAGCCTGTGGTCAGCCTGCAGCAAAAGTCGCGGGAGGAGGACATTTTCCCATTCCTTTTCTGGCTCTTTTCCGAAGTCCTAAGGCAGTGGTTACCCAAATGTGGTTCCTGACCACCAGCAGCAGCATCTGGAAAGTTGCTGGAAATACATACTCTTTGGTCCCCCCCACACCAGACACTCCGAGGCTGGGGCCCAGCAGTCTGTGTTTTAACGCCTCCAGGGGATGTCTGATGCTCCAAGTTTGGGAATCCGTGTTCTGGGAGAAACAGGTGCTTTGGTACAGAGGTAGGCAAGTTTTCTCATGGACAGCCACTGACGTAGACGATTTCTGAAGCATCTAGGGCCTGACCCTTTCTTCTCTGAGAATAGCCTAGGGGGAGATAGCCATTTTCCAGAAAATCTCCAGCCCCTTCTACCCCTGAGGGTGCCTCTAGCCTGGCCACCCTGGGTTTTCCTGCTGTGCACGGAATGTGCCAAGATCTTCCCCACCTCAGGGCCTTCGTACAGATGGCCCGGAAAAACGTTCCTGCCTCTCTCTGCTGGCTAACTCCTACACAGCCCACAGACCTCAGCTTAAATATCACTTGTGCGGAGAGGAAGTGAATCTAAATTCAGCGCCTGTTAAATGCTCCCACAGCACCCTGTACTTTTCCTTCCCAGGACATAATCACAATTTGTAATTGTATGTATATTTTGTGATTATCTGTTGAACGCTTGTCTTCTCCATTACAGGGCAAGCTCCAGGAGAGCAAGGAGCAGGCCCACTCTGTCCACCCAAAAGCCTAGCAAGGTGCCTCGTTCAGTAGATACTCCTGATGAATGGGTCCCCTCTCGTTTCACAACAGGTATCCGACTCCAGGCCGGCTCACCAACGCCTAATATTTGTTCAGAGTGCTGGATAAGACATCATTCTCTTTTCAGCTCAAAGTCCCAAAGGTGGGACCCCTCTTCATCCCTTCCCACTGTCTGTTCCCCCAGGAGAGTGAGGAGCCTCCACTCCAGGCCCAGAGTTCAGGTCCCAAGTGTGGACGGGCCACACTACTGAAGACGCGGAACGGAAATGACCATGGATAAGAAGCCACACAGGCTCAGGTACGGCCCCGGGGAACCTGAAGGTAGGAAGATTTGAAGGGGAGGAGGTGGGGGGAGGCTAGAAGTGGATTAGGGCTTATGCTGCCTGCATTTCTTACTGAAGGACAACTCCACTTTTAAAATTCTAGTTCTTCAACATTCTTAAATTCTCTAGGCCTCTGCCCTTTCCTTAATAAAGTCAGGGGGAAGTAACAGTACTGACCGGGTTCCTGTGACGAAGAAGTGAGTACACAGCCCCGCACAAAGCAAGCACTCCATTGCTGTAAGGCACCACTGTTGGTGCTGTGGCTGGCATTATTCCTATTAGTATTAGTAATATTATCATTATTATTATTGGTTGCCTCGGAGCGCAGCAGAGCTGAAACATACCTGGATGTATCTGCCATCCGCTGAGAAATCCATCTGAATGACAAAGCTTGGAATATCTTTGCAGTAGCCAATGCGATTCAGGCTTGTGCCCTGAGTGAGGTCATAGAAGTCAACTGTGTGTTCAGAAGAACCAACAGCTAAGAATCTGCTGTCTGGGCTGATTCTAGAAAAAGCAATCCAAGAGCATCGTCCATGAGAAGGGCTGTTTGGGCCGGTCCAGCATGAGGTCGGCTCTGGGAGGGGCCTCCCAGGATCAAAGGCAGGGAGATCTCACTTCATGACTCACACACGGTTACCTTCTCTGACATGCTAGGGAATTCAGCCATTTCTCTGGATCCTAGCCCAGGGCAGTAAGGAAATGCATGCAGCCTTAGGTAGAATGGCGTGGTACATGTAGTTTTTACTTGGTAAAAACTCTCATGGAAATTAGCAAAGACATGTCTGAGAGTTCACGTGTGGGAGAGTCTCCTTTCACAGCTGGCTCGCTGAAAGGGACGCCCCTCACAAATGAGTTCTTCAGTCCAGCCCTGGCCCTGACCCTTCTGGAATGGGAACCACCCTCCTTCTCCCTGCCCAGACCACCTGCTATGTACCTGATATCCTGGATAGCAGATTTCCGGTCTCGTTTTTTCCCCCAGACTTTGAGGCTGTTCACCAGCAAGATGACAAACTCCCCATTCTTCATGCCGATGGCCACCATCTCCCCATCGGGGCTGTAGGCTGCACACCTGGCCGCATGGCCCAGGTTCACCTTGTTGAGCAGCTTCTACATGGAAGCAGAGTAACAGTCCCTGAGCCCCCGGCCGCCTCGGCTGCTCTCCCAGGGAAATCCCGCACCCAGGCCAGAGCGCTCAGGCTGTCTCTGCTGCCACTGTGGGCCTGCAGACCTCTTGCTTCTTACAGGAACCGTCCCCGAGGAGCCGAGGCAGCCAGGATGTTTGAATTAGAGCCGCCTGGGAGACAACACGGATCAGGGCAGAGGCTGCCCAAGTTTTCTGTAAGGGGTTTGGTAGTCCATACGGTAGGCTTCACGGTCCATATGATCTCTGGCCGCCACTGAGCTCTGCCACAGGTGCCACGTAACCCGTGAGCCCGGTTTACTTTGTAGAACAGGCAGCAAGCCGGACCGGACCCTCCAGCCTTAGACCGCCCCCCTCTTGCTCCAGGAAAAGAGCTGGCGCTTCCGCACCTGGTGGCTCAAATCCCGAGCCCTGGCTGTCACTAGCCGGGTGCGTTTGCGTCAGTGACTTCCCCACTGTCCCTTTGGAAAAGAAGGGAGATTAATACTGCTCGTGCAAGACTGCTGTAAGCACTAGCGATCACGCATATGAGGCATCTGGTGGGTAGCAGGTACTCACTAAATGACAGCCATTGTTGATAGTAAACACAGTAAATAATTATGAAAATTCACGTAAATATAGCAACCATAATTGGGCTTTTGCATATCTGTTCTTTGATCCTCACACTAAAAATATGAAATATTTACTGGCTATTTTGTGATGAGCCCAACTATTTTAATTATTAGAACTTAAGCACTTGTTTATTTTTTTAACTTTTTAAGATTCTTTAGAGAGAGGAATCTTTAAAATTCTTTAGAAAGAGTGTGAGTGAGCTGGCAGGAGGCGGAGGGGGGCGGAGAGAGAGGGGGAGAGGGGGGAGAGGGAATTCCGAGCAGAGTCCGTGCCCGGCATAGAGCCCGATGCGGGGCTCAATCCCACGGCCCTGGGATCAGGACCTGAGCCGAAAGCAAGATTGGGACACTTGACCAACTGAGCTACTCAGGCGCCCCTAACTACTTGTTTTAATATCAGATAACACTTGGCCACAATAATTTTCTCCCCAGACTACTCTTTGCTATTTTTCACTCAAGATGAATTTTTTAATTTTTAATTTTTTTCCATATTCCAAGAGGAACTTTGGTGGGATTTTGATTGACACGTTCCATTTGGGAACATCTGATGTTTTAAATCATTCTTAGTCTTCCCACCCAGGGAAGACCTATCTCTTTCTTTTTAAGGCTTTGTGGACTTTCCATGACAAGAGAAAAATTTTCAGATTATTTTTTCAGATTATTTTCAGATTATTCCTGTACTATAGTTATGGATGGATACACAGCTAAAAGACGGACTGGGTGTGTGTTGGCTGTCTAACTTACTGGCTGACCTGCCACATCGCCCCTCTCTGGCCTGACCCTGGCCAGACCTCTCCTCCCGCCAGGCTCCGGCCAGACCCACCTGCGGGCATCCGAGCCCGGGCAGAGAGGGCCCCTCACCTTGTCAGCCAGGTCCCAGATGCGGGCCGTGCCGTCGTTGCTGGCAGAGATGAAGATGTCCTTGGAGGGGTGTGTGGCCAGGCCCCAGATCTCCCCTTCCATGTGTCCATCAATCAGGATGTTGGAAGCAGCATTTTTTTCACCAACTTCAATTATTTCTCCATCTTTGGTTCCTACTAAAATTTTTCCCTGTTGCAATAAAAACATTAGAAACAAGACAAATACTGTATGATCCAACTCAGATGACTTACTAGTCCAATTCACAGAGAAAAGTCAAATGGCGGTCGCCAAGTGCTGGTGGGAAAAGGAGAGGGGCGTGAGTACTTCATAGGTACAGAGTTTCAATTCTACAAGATAAGAAACGTTCTGTGGGTGGACGGGGGCGATGGTTGCCCAGCAACGGGAATGTACTTACTACCGCTGGACGGTACACCTAAAAATGGCAAAAATGGTAAATCGTTACGTTCTCTATCTTTTGCCACAATTTAAAATGAAATAATTTTATCATCTACTTGCTATCTGGGGGGTGCTCGGTTGGCAGACAAAGAGATGAACATAGGTAAAAAAGAAGGAGATCTGTATTTTAAAGAATAACTGCAAGAAGAACACAATTAGAGCAAACTGGGAGCAGCTCTGCCAGCAGCAGTGCTTCCATGGGAAGGGCCGAGAGGCTTCCGTGGCTGACTCAATCGCCCACCTACGTCACCCCTCACCTCCCGTTCTCCCTCAGCCGTGGAGGAGATTCCATCATCGGGTCTCTGCAAGAACATTCCACAGACAGCAAGCTCACTACAGAGCTGAGCAGCCAGTTTCTGCTGTTGGACAGCTCAGGTTCTTCTAAGTTCTCCCTCACGCACCGAACAAAACGCCATCTCCGATGAGCCCCACGTCTGGGCCTAGCTCCGCCCCACCTCCCAGATGTCTCATCACCCTACCGGATGACTGCCATCAATCTATTTAAAAACAAAGATCTCCATTCCTAATTATGGAGCCTCCAAGTCATGTCTGCCTTTTCTTATGGGGAACATCCTGAAGCCAAAGCAGAGGTTAAGATTTATTTTCAAGTACCTCGGAATTTCTTGGGGAGTTAAAAAAAAGAAAAGGAAAAAAGGAACACACGCATCATGACTAAGATTCTGATTTGGCAGCTCTGGGCAAGAGCCTGGACATCCATATTTAAACAAAACACAACAAGAGACCAACAACAAAAAAACCCAACCTTGCACTTGTTTCTGAGATTCAGCCCAGGTATGACTTGAAAACCTATGGCTTTGAGTCAGTTTGATGGCCCCTTCCTGCCCTCTTACTGCCCATGTAACTGTGGACATAGGCAAATTATTGACTATCTCTATGCCTATAGTAATAATATTATCTGTAATAGCAGCTAACATCCACTGAATGTGGCTATGAGGCAGGCATAAGGAAAGGCACCATGCATTATAATGCATGTGATCCTCACAAGGACGCCTGTGCTGGAACAGAAAGGTTAAGTAACACACCCAAGGTCACACAGCCGGCGCTACTCAGAAGAGTCTGCACCTGGGTCTGTTGGATTCTGCTACGCCAACTCCCCACGGCAGTTCAAGTCCCACCTCGGAGGCTGGTTTTAAGGATTCAACAGTGCAGCACAGGGAAGGTGTCCGGCCGAACTAACTCTCCCTTGGGCCCCAAGGGGATAGTTGGGGGTAGACCGGCCCCGCCCACTCACTTTGCCCCGGCACACGGAACGCACACACTCCACCAGCTGGCCTGTCTCCAGCTGGAAGGCTCGGCAGCGCTTCATCTCCTGGTCCCACAGTTTCACGGCACCTCCTTCTTTGGTCCTAAAAAGGATCAAGAGGCACACAGCATGTTGGCCCTTGTCCTAAGACTTGCCCGTGACACTCCAGGCCCCGTCCCCATCATCAAGGTCACAGCCACTGGGGCCCAGCAGGACAGACCCTGCAGGGTGGCCTCTTTCTCAGCCCCACCAATGGGTAGTTACAACCATTTGGACTGGCAGATTTCCTAGAATACTTTCAAAGGCCACTATGGTAGAAGGAGAGGATTGCAATCTAAAAAAGTCAAACCGTGTTTTTATCAGATCAAACATGAAGAGAAATGCTTCTCTGTTTTTCTGCTTCATTTTCACATCTCTGTCCCCACGGGAACTTCTCTCCCCTCCTCCCCAGCCTCCCACCCCCCAAAGAGCTACAGAGAGGAACACTTGATGATCAGCATAGTTACTCGGGTCTATCCAAGAATACCTCTCTGGATTTTAAACTACCATGAAACCAGCCCTCCCCATCTCTGACTTATACTTCTGAAAGGTTTGACCTAGGGCCCTCTCGGAGTGAGGGGAGACCGATCTCCCCGCTGCAGCAGAAAAGATGGGACAGCGAAAAGCTGCATTTTCTCCCAGGGGGAAATGTTTCTGTCACTCTCACCCAAGACAGTAAGAGAAGCCCAGCTATCCTCAGGGGAGTTTCAGCTTACGGCCGCTCTTTGCCACCGGTCACTATGAGTCCGTCCCGAAGGGTTGTGTACATTGTGAAGACGGGGCCTGTGTGAGCCTTGGCCACCAGCCGGATGAGGAAGTGGTCCTTCCACACGTAGACGTCTCCATTGATGGCACCCGTGAAAGTGAGGTTGTTCTGTAAACAAAGGGACACCTTCCACACCAAGACACTCACAGCAGCTCTCAGGAGGGTCCCCTCCCAGCCACCTGCTCCTTGCTTAGGTTACCAGAGCTAGAGAAACACAAACACACGCTCAAATTGACCTTCTGTGCTAAGGCAAGGCAAAAGACTTGACAGGAGACCACGAGGCAAATATGATAAGAAAATCACTCAGCCCTGAAATTCACTCTCCTGAGTTGGTTTGGGGCATTTGACTTCCCCACTGTGTGCACATCTGCATGCAAAGGAACTTCCATCCTGGGATCCAGCCCCAGATGACTGCAGAGTAAGGGGTAAGGGGCAGGACTCCAGCCCAAACTTTCATGGGCTTGGGAACAAGGTGCGTAAATCCACACCTGCTGGACCAAGACTTGGCTGGGTTTCAGAATGTCCCCAGGGGAGCCTGCATTGGCTGAGGGGGCCCCACAGTTGGGGCATCTGTGGCACAAGAAGGCTAGGAGGAATCGGGAGGCTGTCCGGGGCGGGGGGGGAATCAGTCCCACACCCTCTGCACTTGTCTAACCCAGGCCTAACAGGCTTGCAAGTCAGTCTGCCTTTACAATGATGAAGCTCCTGGCCTGAGTAGTGTGTGTGTGTGGGGGGGGGGGTCCGACCTTTTCTAATGAATATTTCAAGGGTAAAAATAGGGAAAAATACAGTCAACTCACTTGTGCTAAAGAAAGGGAATAATGGTTGCAAGTAAGCCAATAAAGGAGAAAATGGGGAAATAGCTTTCTTGTTGCTTGCAGCTTTGTGGCTATAAGTGCCCCCCCCGCCATGCCCATGCCCAGGGGTCAGGGTCCCCTCTCAGGAAGCTTCTGCTGGAACTCACAGCACCGAAGGCCACGGAGAGCATCGTCTGCATCTTGGCAGCTTCCATGGACCCGATGACCCCTTTCTTGTAAAGCAGGGCGCTGCCTGCCAGGGTCCAGAACTTCATATGTTTGACCCCGACGGACACAAATTGGGTGTCTGAGTCGGGGCGAAATTCCACCACAAATATGCGCTCCAGGTGACCCCCTCGGCTGGCAACCTTGGCGCCTGTATGGGTGAGAGATTCTGGTGAGGGGGGTGTCCTCCCACACTCCGGGTCAGGCACTAAAGCGCAGCTCACTCAAGATGGCTCTCCATCCCAGCAAGGCCCAGGGTACCCTGCAGATGTTCCTTCTTCCTCAACAGCACCCTCCCCACCTCAGACACTACTCTCAACACCTTATAAAATGGGAACTCTTATTATCCCCAAATTACAGATGAGCCAAACTGAGGCACCGGGAGGTTAAAATAACTTTCCCCAAATTGCTCTACAAATAAAAGGTGGAGCTGGGGTTGTCTGAGGACAAAAGTTAAAGCTCCACAGACGAGTCAAACACATAAATGCGGTTGAGGGAAAAACTAGTAATTAAGTATAAAAGGTAGAATTTTTAAACCCAAAAACCATGAAAGAAAAAGGAATGTGAAGGACTTTTTTTTGAAGAACGTAAAAGCAGAGAATCTTGTAAAGAAATAAAGAACTCTCTAAAGGAATGGGAGTCTCCAATTACACTCCAGAGGAGAGTTCAGCTTCCCGTGGGCGGGAATCATGTGGTGAGTTCAGACACCAGAAGTGAGGAAATGAAGGGTGCCCTTTGCCGTTTTCTCATATCTGGAAGCTTCCACCCCTGGGGCCATCCCTTCTTGCTGTGTTCATGGGGGCCTGGATGTGGCTTGTGGGGGTGAAGTGAGATGGAGGGTTATGTTCGCAGCACTGCCGCTCTGGAAATTTCCCAGGCTCTCTCTTTTCCGCCCTGAGAGTACACTTGAGTGGTTTATTTTGCACCTTCTTCTAAGCCACTGTTTGTTTTTTCCTGGTCTTACTCCATGGACCCTTCTAATTGTGGGCACGCCTGTGTCCCGCCTTGCGGTGGCTTCTACTTTGCTCAGAACAAGTTTCATTCAAGTATCGAGGACCTGACAATGTGCACTTTATATAATAAGCTCATTTTGTACCCAACTTTGTTTCTTAGCTACACACACACACACACCTGGAGTTCCACAAAAACAGTCCTCCAACAAACGAAGAATGAATAATATGCTCTCTAATGGTAAGAAAAATGTAGATAAACCACCCTCAAAACTGTATCATCTGTAAACAGGACTTGAAGTGAAGGAAAAACCACACACAATCGGCTCAGATGAGCTGGTGGTTGGTGACACAACATTAGACATTGTTACTGGCTCAGAACCCTTCTGCAGACACCCAAAGGCTGGTTCCAACAAAGACAATGGGAGAAAGTTCCCCAAGAGAAGGCTTCTCTTGATCATGTTTCAAAGCTTACTTAAAGTCCTGGCTCTCCCAGTACCCCCCTCCCCCCGGAGGTCGCAAGGCACCCCAGGTGAGCAGGAGTCTGGGCTGGGGCAGGGTCGGAGCAGGTGCTATCCGGAGGGGCAGATAGCAGAAGGGAGGAGGATGGGCCTGGACTGAAGGACTAGCCTGTGCGCGGGGCCCAACAGGACGACTCTCTTCCAAGGACCTAGGCATGGACTTGGTCTTGGCCGCTGCAGACGGCAGAGTTCGTGCCGTAGAAGGCATAATGAAGCCAGTTAGGCCCTCACAAGAAAGGGCTTTATAAGCGATTTCCAGCAGTGGGTGGGCTGCCTTGGGAAGTGACGTGGGCCATCTTCCTGCAAGTATTCGGCCAAGGATGGGAGTCAGCCTGTCAGGAGTGCACTTGCAGGGACTGCTCTATGGGGGAGATCTGGACTGGTCCTTCCAATGCTACAAGGCTACGAGTCTATAGTTTAAGACCCCCAATGTCTCATCAGGGGCTGAGTCTATTTAAGACCAAGTTGGCATGACAGGAAATGAAGCTGCATCCCCAAAACTTAGATAATGGGGCCATTTGGGCACCATGCACCAATGAACAAGAAAATGAGAAACGGACAGGATAAGATGAACGAGTCTCATCATAGAAGTTTGCAGGTTCCCAACCTCTTTTTCTCACATGGGGGCTCAGGAGGCATTGGAACTTAGCTCCCAGCTCTTTCTAGCTCCCTCCATGGGGAGGTGCTGAGATAATGAGTCTTTAGAAGCCCTGAATTGGAGAAGAGCCACTTCCGTGCATGCCTGGCTCAGTGTGCCCCAGATACGGGCTGCCCGGCTGGAAACAGACCTCATTAACGTCCTAACTAATTGGATCTGTTCTGCCAACCTGAGAATACACTCAGAAGATTGCACATCTTTGATTCTAACATGAACATAAATTTAGTAGCAGCCTGTGTGTGTGTGTGCGTGAGTGTGTTAGGGAAAGGCAAGAAAGAAATCCTGTTACATTAAATGTAAACCTTGATTATAAGGTGAATCCCCATTTCGAAAAAGTTAAAATGCCAAAAAATAAAAAATTTTAAAAAAGTGTTTCTGAGCCCATGGTGGTAAAATCCTGCCCCAGTTCCCGTAATAAGGCAACCAGGGTGACAAGGCTGCAGTGGGATCTAGAGGTCATGGAAGGAATGTCAAGGACATGGACATTTGGGTGGGAAGGGAGTTAGGATGGAAATGGAGGAGGCCACGGTCTTCTGCCTGAGGAGGAAGGCTGCCAGCAGAGAGTGCCCACAGAACCTTCACTCAACCAGCCCGGGACTGCCCTGGCCATGGGGTCCAGGGGTCTGATGGGCAGTTTCTCCGGGATTCTCCGGCTTCCACCGACCCAGCAGCAGTGCCCACGGTGGGCTTCAGAGTGGGGCCCATGGAGGTTTGAGCCCCGCACACACCACAAGCGAGCCTCCCAGAGGAACAGACGGCCTAGCTCCTTTTACCTTCCTGCCAACGCCAGACGGTGATGGTGTGCTCGGGGTCCACTCCCACCGACACCAGGAGCTTCCCGGTGGCACTGAAGTTGATGTAATTCACCCCTTTCGAGTGGAAGCACCGCAGCATCGAGAGGGTGTGTTTGGTCATGGCGTCCCAGATGTGGATTGAAGGCGTCGTCCCTGAATGTGTGAGGCATGACACAGAACTGAGGCTGGAGAACGGGGTGGGGGTGGGGGCAGCCAAGGCCACGCTTAGGTTCACCCCAAAGCCTTTTTAAGACCAGCATCCTGGGGTGTTACAGTTACTGGGCCTCAGAGACCCCCAACCTGACCGGGCCAGCGGTGAGAGACGACGAGACACACGTGCCGTGCTTTTAGAGCCGGAGGCCTAGGGGGCACTTACGTCCCGCACACGCACTTGTGCAGGGCTTTATGCAAAGGAAACTGGTGAGCTCAGTGATTCGTATCAGCAGTTTCGCCAGATACAATCAGCAAACGCGACACAGCGACATGACTTTGCCGTGCAGATTCCAACCGCTCACGGATGGAGCAGCCTTACCTGGGGTCTCCGTCATACCAACTGCGTTGGGTGGACAATGGCAATGAGGAAGCGTCAAGGGAAGACAACAGCTAAAATAAGTCACGTTTCTAATAGCGAGGCACTTAGCAGCAGCATCGGGAAGCTCCAAACCAAGCTTAGAAATGGACATGGGTTCAAGGAACACAAGCAGCGGATATGTTTGTAAAAACTGCCTTTGAAACGACAAAGTTAAAAAAAAATAACACAACACAACCTCTCACAAATGTGAATCAGTTCACATTTGTCGTTGGCAGTTCCCCAGGGTCCAGAAGAGCCAGGCACACAGACTGCAAGCTGCCCTCGCCAAGCACAATCCCAGACTACAGACGTGGGGCTCTTTATCTGACCCCTGGCGTCTGAAAAACTACCCCCACAAGTCCACAGGGATGGGGCACCCGTTTATTTGGACTATCAGGCTCTGGTCTGACTTTATGATCCCTCAGAATTACCAATCACTGGGTATTTCAACCCAGACGACACAGATATATTGGGGGCTCAAAAGATAACAGTAATGTCGAGAAAGGGTAGATGTCAGCAACCCTCCCGCTCCCTTTCCAGATAATTGCCCGTCAGGCAGTGTCCCTGCTCTGCTGGGGGAAAGCTCGGCGACTGCGGGACCCTCCTACCTATCTGGCTGGTGGCCACCACATTTCTGTACTTGGGGTGCTGGTTCACCGTGAGGCAGAGGATGTCATCCGTGTGCTCGAGGTAGAAGCTCTGGCTCCCTAGGGGCAGACACGGGAGGGTGAGTGGGGGCGGGGGGTCTGCAGACCTCTCAGGGCAACCCCGAACTATTATGTAGCGCCTGCAAATGCCTTGTAAAACTGAGCGGTGAAGGCTCCAAGTTCTCAATTTTAGAATCATGCCTGGGGAGCTGGGAGACCTTTTTTTACATTTACAGATTCTGTTCCAGGCCGGGTAGAAGAGCTGGGGTCTATTCTCTAGCACCTGCCGGCCCCTGCTGCCCATGGGGGTCCAGAGCTCAGTCCAAGTGCAAGGCTCCCAAGGGCCCAAAATGATAACGAAGATACTACCTAACTGAGCAAAATGGCACCACTTACTCATCTGAAAGGGAGGGCTATGGAATAGGAAAGTAATCAGGGACTCTCTTTCAAATCCTTATTTCTCAAAGCACCAATCCACTTGGGTGCCTAGACGGCACAGGTAAGGTCTTCACCCCGTCATGCCCCCACTCAACATATGTCACAGGAGGTAGAAGAAAGGACAAGAAATATGTTATCATCAACTATGACAAATGGGCCTGCCGACTTCCAAGGTAGCCACTGTAAACCCATCCAAAGGCCCAAGAACTAAGAGGTAGATGAAGGCACTGGTAGACAAAGAAATAGCACATTGCTACTAAAGTGATAATATGTGGCTACACAAAAGAGAAAACATATAGAAAATTTCAAGGCCCTCCTTTCCAAAAAAGGCAAATCATTATGTGCTCAGTGACTTCACGGTCTAAAAATGTATGCATAAACAAGTGTGCAGACTTGGGAAGGAGCATAAAAATTTGAAAAAAGAAAGGGGGTCTGTTTTAAGATAGGAAGCGAATAAGGCAAGATGTGAACACATTTAAATCCGGTGGCAAAGATATGGGTGTCAAATTAATTTCTGAACACTTCTTTCAGCTTGCCGTGTTTCTTTTTCAACTATTTGTTTGAGCCATCCTACAGTGAAGGGACATTTGGGGTGATTTGCTTATGCTGTAAGAGTTCTCATTCTTCTGGCTAACTCGTCAAAGCAAGCCAGACTTGAAAATCTGAGCTGCTAAAATATTGGTCACTGTGAAAAATTAATGAGCAAAGTTCCCCGGGGCTCCGTTCTTGGTAACCGGCTGCAAGGAATTTCTCCACTCCCCACACCCTCTTTCCGGCTCCTGTCCCCCCCTCCCAGCCTCTGAGCAGCTGACGGAAACGTGGACACCTCCCTCCGAGGGCTGGCAGCAGGGTGTTGTTGTTAGAAAGGAAGAGGGCTTTGACCTTTGAACGTGGGCCTCCACACTTTCTAGGACCAAGTGATTCCAGGCTGGAATGGAGAGGACCGGCTCCCACAGGCCGAGAAGGCGCCAGCCCCTGGGCGTCTCAGGAGGGGGAGGCACACCCGGGGGGGGGGGGCGGGGGGGGCGGGAAGCAGAGCCTGCCCTCAGAGGGGGCCCCGGGGCCGCGTTACCCGTGGCCAGGTTCTGCAGCACGCCAGCCGCCGCCGTGTGGAAGATGATGTCCGCGCCGTCATTCAGGTAATGCAGGTTGTTGCGACAGTCGAATCCCCTGTAGCCAAACACGTGATCGAGAGCCAGCTCCTACATTCCCACACACAGAGGGGAGCAGCCCTCAGAGGAAGCAGGAGCAGGGCCGGGAGCCCGCGCTCGGGGGGCAGCCAGCCCCTTACCTCATGGGGACCGCGCGGCGGGCTGGACAGCCAACCCCAAGCCGAAAGCCTCTGGCTTCTTGGCTAGCTGAGGAGAAAACGCAGCCCTTTCTTTAGTTCCCTGAAACGCTAGGGGGACTAGGCTCCCATACAGAATTACAGGCAGTTTTCTCAATAGGCCAGATAAGCTTCGGGGCTCTCCAGGTGAGTCCAGGCCTACTGCTGCGAGGCCCTGCAAAGGCTACCTGGAAGTTTTGTGTCCGTGCCTGGGCAGGCACTCTTTAGGGGGGCTGAATGGTGGCCCAGGGCTTTGCTTGGATTCCCACGGATGCCATTGGGACTGGCAGGGCAGAGTATCGAGGCAAATGGCATGCTCATTCTGTTGCCTGGTGCTTGCCCTACAAAGTTTCTACATCATTTGCATTTTTTTTTCAACAACGAGATACTGTTCTGGGTTTGCAGTCTTTCTCTTCTTCCCGTCTTGTCTTCCATGACAGAGCAGTGGCCGATTAAGATCAGGTCAGTTATTAATGCGATTTGGCGCACACGTACTGTTGGCAGCTCTTCTGTGCTAGGCACAGTGCTGGTGGGTGGGGTACGAGATTAAGAAGGTGTGGGTCCCTTTTTCTAGGTTCCCTGATTTCTCTCTCTAAAGCTCATCAGTTGCAAACATCAGAGTAATTGTCCTAAAATACCATAACCCCTCCTTACTCCAGAACATTCACGGACTTTCACTGCATTTGGGATAAAGCCCAAACTCCTAAGCTGGCATAATTACCCCTACTCACACATGCCCTGTACCCCTCGGTCAAGCTGAATTGTCTATTTAGCCCACTTATCATGAGCTTTCCCATTTGTATAACTTTGCTTTTTGAAATCTCTCTTGCCTAGAGAGCCCTTCTCTTCCTTTCATCTCAGCCTTCTCCCACCCCCATATGTCTCCCAGAAGCTGCATGTGTAATATGTGACCCCTCATCCTGGTGGACACTAAGTCAAATGGGGCCAGATGGTTTCCCCCAGGATTTTAGAATTGAGGACACTGGTAGGCTTGGCTGTCTAACTAAGTGAGGAGATATAAACTCAGGGGCTGGGTCATACCCATCATCTACCAAAATAGTTCAAGAAGTCTGCAGAAAAAGAGAAGGATGCATCAGACATACAGAGCCCTGGTGGGCAGAAAGAGGCACCATCTTGGTTTATGATGGCTTCTCAGCTTCTGGATCCTGTCTTTTCCTAAAGCTCAGCCGCATCTTCTGACCTATGCTCTGTTCCATGATAAATACCCCCAATTAGTCCTCCTTTTCCAATAAAAAAATTTTTAAGATGGATTCTTCTGTCCTTAGTGAGTTCACAGTGTGGTAGGAGGGACAGATGACTGAGAAATAATGGCGGTAGTGCCTATGACAAGGGCAGTGGATGGGGGGTGTGTGTGAAGGATATAGGAGGGTTTAGGATGAGGAGAATCAGGGAAGCGCACAGAGAAGATGCCAGAGAAGAGCTTAGAAAGACCAGGGTGTGGGGAGGCAAGAAGCAACACCTTCTAATACACAGGGTCCTGAGGGCCCACCCCTGCATCAGAGAATGTTAAGTAAGGGGTTTGGGGACTGGAGATTTGAGGTGCAGTGGCAAATCACAGGTGCTGAAGCTGGAAGGTGGCTCCTGGTTAAGGTTTTGAAACCAGGCACTTGAATCCCCCTGGCAGGGTGGGAATCTCCCAGGTCTTAAAGCTGCGGTGAAACTTGAAGAGTTGTATTTTAGAGCTCGAACTCTGTGGGCAGCAAGATGTGTCAGAGAGGGAGGGGACTCTGAATGCAGAAACAACAGCTAGGAGGCCCCTCTTAGAAAAGAACAGGTCCACAGAGCGGCAATCCTTAAGTAGGAACGACCGAGTTCAAATCTCTCTCTACTCCCTGGCTTGGAGAACTTGGGCATGGGACCTAATCAGTCACTTAACTTCTGGAAGCTGGTGTCCTTATCTGTAAAATGGAAACAATAGTACTATCCTCCTCACAGGTATGAGAGGTGCATGAAATACATCTTGGGAAGTACGTACACAGTCCCCAGCTCACCGTGAAAGCTCCCACAACATTAGAGACAGTGAATAAACTTGTGCTCCCCACTGTGTCTCCCCTCTTCTCCCCTGAGGGGGACTAGGTCTGGGGGAAAGGAGTCAGGTTCGAAGGACATGGGACATTTGCAAGTTAGTACTGACAGGACCCCATGACAGGGCTGAAGGAACATGACCCAGTGGGTGTGATTCCCTGGGATTGGGGCCACAACGCTATGTAGGAGGGAGAGAGGACAAGAGAGATCCAGCAGGTCCATTCAGGTTTACTAGAAGGTACCTATGGGACAGGCAGATAGTGATGTCCATCAGGCAGGTCTTAGAACACTGATATCAGATAAAAAACAAAATAGTTTAACCTCCTCACCTCAACCAGTTTCTTTTTTTTGGTGATATTGTTCTTCTGGAGTTTCTCAGGCTGGGGAGCTGCTCTGCTAACGGGTGGTCTGGAACAGAGAGTGACCAAACAAACAAACAAACAAAAACAACCCAAAACATAGTGTTGAACAAAAGGCAGCAAGGTTGTTGGTCCCCACGCAGCAGACCCTCCACCTGGGTTTGTTCTGTCCTGCTTCCTCCTTTGCTCCCCCAGAAAGGGTAGATTCTGACATTAGGGGTCCCAGATGATGGAGGCGTGGATTTAGAGGCACTGGGGTGGACTACGCCACACCTAAGGCATCGTAGTCAGGGATCAGGCTCTCTACCTCCTGGGAGCCAGGAAGAACACAGGAGCCAGAGGGGCTGATTTTCAAACCAAAGAGGAGCCTAAGAATGAGAAGGAAGAGGCTATGCTTCCTGAACCCACCAGCCATTTTCCAGGCAGGAACGCGCCTATATTGTTCAGAATTAGGTGGTCAAAATCGTGGCATGGGGTGAAGTGGGACTTAAAAGTCAGGTGTGGGAATGGGCCCAGATGGCCAAGTGCCCTGGTCATTCTCGATACACAAAAGGGCAAGTGGGAAGTATAGGGAGAGAAGGCAGAAAGAATGCCCACTTGGCCCTACACCTTGGAGTTATGGTTTACCTTAAACTGCTACCATCATCCCGAAGTTTGCCTTTCCCTGCTCAATTTTGGCTCTGGGCCTCCAAATTTAGCTAAGAGACTGTATGATGGGTAAGCTCTCCACTCTTACACCAGTAGGCCCACTTTTTGTAACGTGAGGTTCCCTTAAATCAGACTTCCCAGAGCTGAGGACACGGGGGATGGGTGGGGAGAGACCTGTCCCAGCTCCCACTGCAGGTTCCAAATCCACAAGTTACTGCTCTTGGGCTATGCAAAGAGAAAGGATTACCTTGATCCCCTTGTAAGCAGCAAACAAAGCCAAGTGAGAAACTTAGTACAGTTCAGAGCCACATTAGCAACCACCTCATTCATGCACAAGCATTATCCAAGTGAACAGACATTCCTGTGTGGCACAAACCATGCTTCCCGGGCATGCCAGCAAAGAACTAAAACAGAAATGAAAGAGTGCACCAGTCTACGAATCCAGAAAGCTCATACCCTGGCGTCTCTGGGCAAACTCTGCACTAAAGCGCCTACAGAATAGGGAGAAAAAAGGAAGCCTTGTCAATGCTTCCCGCACGCTCTCTGCGACTTTGTGAATGCGCCTGGGGACTCGGCTTATGTGAGAGTGTGCTGGGGAAAAACCTGTGGTCAGAGAAACGATCACATCCTCCTGGATGTTGCTGGCAGTTACGCACAATGGGTGCTTTGTTTCCGAATCAAGTTCGACTCATAATTTAGCCTAAGAATTCCCAGTGTTTCTTGGTTGGGCAGCTTGCCTGCTGGAACGGCTTGCGTTTTTGTGCTGGGGCAAAAACAAGTTACCTTTATTTTCTGAGAAACTCTTCAATCAAAACAGGTTATGTAATCATAAGTGATAATTGGACCAAATGGTATTATCTGCACTGAAGAATAGGGAGCAAGCACAGCTCTGCGAAACGACACCCCCGGCTGATGTCATTTGCTGCCAAATTGAGCAAAACCGGGAGGCTGGGTGCATGCCAGTTCTCGCAATTAGACACTTCCTTCACATTAATTATCACTTCCCAGGACATCTGCTCTTTCTTCTGTTTTAGTGGGACTTTCAAATGAAATCCGTGGGTTTCTTCTTTCACCTAAGAATGTTCAAGTGTGTGACAGAAGCAAGCCGAGGTCTGAGATGGGGGCAGGAGGACACTGGGGCTACAGCGTGGTTCAGAGGCAGAATTTGAGGTTAAACACAGGGCTCGTTTCCAGGGTACACACAGGCTGTATAATATGTCCATATTATACAGGGTATACAAAGTATGCATACAAGCACAGACACTGCATATTCATATATACACGAGATTGTATATATATACACATAGAGGCAATCCGATGCTTTTTTTCACCTTGATTTTCAGTTAAAAACTGAAAAGGAAAGCAATCTCAGAATGTTTCTTTCTTATTTCACAAGCATATGTTTATGGCTGTATTGCTTCAAAACTGAAGATGAGAGGGGCAAAAGGAAGAAACCTGCATGGTGGCAAATTCAGCGGATTGTAAGTATAGACCCTTGGCGGTTGTGGATTCTGCATGAACGCTTAGTACTGGATGCTCATCGAACACCTGGGCTTTTCCAGAGTGCTGTGAATACTTACTTGACAATTCCCTGCCTCCAAAGGAAAGCAAGTTAAAACACAATACAAGCATTAAAGGCTTCTTTCCAGGCATCTATAAACAGTGTTCGTAACATCAGACGTGGGAGGAACTGCCAAAAATCTCAAACACAGCCAAAGGCTGGAGGTTTGGCATTTTTCAGCAGATCTAAATCCTTCCAGATTCAGATTCCATTGGAAATGTGACTCTGAAAAGCTTTGCTGAGGTGGGAAAGAGTAGGGTGCATGAGAACATTCACTCACTTCTCAGTCCAATAAACTCTTTATAGCTGGCTGTCCCAGCTGGTACTCAGGATGGGAGAGCCAGGAAGGGAGTGAGCGCAGTGGGGATTAGCGGGGAGACACGGGAAGGTGAAGAGCCCAGTGTGGGGGGCGAATGGTGGGGGGGATCCCCGAGGGGGGGAGCAGAGACACAAAGGGGCCTCTGGAGGCAAGTGGAACTTTGAAGTCACTCAGGGAAACAAAGAAGAGAGTTTCCACTGGGCAAGAAACTTAAGGAGGGAGCCTGGCAAAAGAGCAAACAAACTGGATAATCAGGAGAGAGGACTACGGACAGGCTTGAGCTCTGAGAGAGTAGAAGAGAAGCTTTGCCAGTGAAGACAGAGCAGAGGCAAAAAGCCAAGGGGAGGCCTGTGGACTCGAGCTCGTGACTGGCTGTTAAGCAACGAGGCGGCAGTGTTCTTTTGCGGCACTGGGGGGTGCAGGCTGCAACACCCACCCTTGCCGGTGGGTAGTCCCTACTGCACAGCCCCATGGCCTCTGTGGAAATGGCACATTCTTGGGCAGGGAAGGACCATGAGGTCGGTTGGTGCTGCAATCCTGTCGTCTGGCAGCTGGGCTGCTGAAGAGAAAGCTTAGGCTCACTTGAAGACGTGTGTGGTCTTCCCAACACGAGCTCTCACCTCACAGAGAGCCCCCCAGAGGTGGCCAGGGCCCGGTGTTCACCCCTCTTTGCCCCCCCCAGGGTGCTGGTGGGGCAGAGCACATGATGACCTGAGATGCGCAGGAGAGGGCTCAGAGCCAAGTCTCTGAGGGAAGCGTCTGAAATGATGGAAGACGGGAGGAAAATCAGTCACACCCCCAGATGAGCGCAACATGACAGCCAACTGGGGAGTGAGGCTCAGAAAGCAAGTAAGAAACAAAGTTGTTGCAAACAGCTTCTATAAGAGAGGGGTGTGGGTGTGGAGAAAATCAGCTACTTTTAGCCAAGAAATGAAAGTTTGGAATTGTTTTCAGTGTTGTTAGTCAGACAATGTTCAAAGGGTCCTTGGAGGAAACATAGCTTTCTTCAGATTCCAAAATGTGGCATAAAATGGTCTAAGAGTCTTCGAAATGTCTTGGGAAACCAAGCTACTTTTGATCCTTTTTTGCAGGAACCAGCAGATGATCTGAGCACTGTTTCAGTATTGTCCTCCAACGAGACTTATCAGCCCATGGGTGGGCTTCAGGTACTTATGCTAAATTGTGTTTGCACCTGTGCACTTTTCTGGGGGAAATGAGGCATGTCTTTAGCAAATTTTCGAAGACATATGTGATTTGAGAGAGAGAGATTAAGAACCATTGTGCTCAGATAAATTCAAGTTGAGGAAAATTCTACAAAGCCATGGGAGATCTCCATTATCAAAACAAAAGGAGTTGGATTCTGTTAAATGTATTCCTGTGTCTTCCAGAACCACTTGTAGAACTGCTCATTGGTGAACTGGAGTAGAAGGGAGAGAGTCAGACAGGAGAATAAAGGGATGCCCTGAGGGAAGCCTGCCAACTTCCAAATTCTTTGGACTGAAGCCTATAATATAGCCCATCTCCCCCTTTTTTTTCTTTACAAAAATGGGGATATAATCCCAGACTTGGCCATTTTAGGTGAATATCAATTTATTTGGGTGAAAAATTGAGGGCATAAAGAATATAAAGGAGGAACTATGAATAAGGTGGGCAGACTATTGAAGAAGCCACTCCAGCAATCCAAGGGAAGGATGATGAAGATCTTGACTAAAGCAATAGTTGTAGAGAAGGAAACAAGGGAATCTTTAAGGAAATACTGGCAAAGTAGACTTCAAGAACTTTGTAATTGCTTAGTTGTAGGCATTGAAGGCGGAAGAGCAATTCGGAATACCAGTTTTCTGCCTGGGCACCTGGTGGATGGTGGTACCAATGACTGAGACAGGAAGAGAAGAGTCATGACAAAAGATGATGAGCTCCCTTGTGGCATGTTAAACTTTGGACGTCTGTGGGCTGGAAGCCCAACTGAGAGGTGGGACTCAGAGAACCATCGGCCAATGGGTGGAATATATGAGATTATCAGGAAGAGAGTTGGAAGCCTGAGGACCAACAGCATGTGAATGGCTAGAAGACGGGGCAGACATGGGACACCGAGAAGAAATGATTGAAGAGGTAGGAGGAGGGCCAGGAAAGATAGTTCCTAAAAAATAAGTGAGAGAAGAATGGATATAACTTCACTATCCTACATGGTATCCACTGGCCACATGTGGCTCGTCCAAATTAAGACGTGCTGTAACAGTAATATAAACACCAATTCTGAAGACCTAGTAAAAATAGTTTTCAAAAAAGAAAATAAAATGACTCATTAATAATTTTCACAATGATTATGTGTGGAAATAATATTTTTAATATATCGGGTTAAATAAAATACATTATTAAAATTAATTTCACCATCTCTTTTAACTTTTTAAATGCGATTACTAGAAAAATCACCTATGTGGCTTGCATTGTATTTCTACCACACAATGCTACTCTAGAAGAAGCACGTTCTTCCTTTTAATAAGACAAAGAGGATTTGGGGATC